AATGACATGTCAACCTATTATTGTTTTTAAAATTAATATTATTGTTTTACAGTGATTGTTGTCATGAACTACTTGGTCACATTCCGATGCTAGCAAATAAATCATTCGCAAGTTTTTCACAGGTCTTTTAAAAATATTTTTAATAGATAGGCCTATTAATAAAGAAGTTTCATTATATAACTATCATAGTTGTTTTACATACCATAACAGAGTAATAGTATTATTACTAATTAAAAGTTAGGAAAAGTTTAATCTATCGTTTTTGGTTAAAAATTGAAGTACAACTTAAAATTACTAATCATTATTTTTATTTCATATGTACGAAGCTGTTTAAGGGACATGGTGATTTGTTTTTTTATTTTCCTAACCCGTACGACGTACGCCTTAATAAGTCGTACGTACGCCTTAATAAGTCGTACGCCGTACGGGTTAGGAAAATAAAATAAAAATTCATCGTGTCCCTTAAACAGCTTCGTACATATAATTATAGGCCTGAACATAACCGTAAAACATCGAATTGAACCATTTGGTTTTTTTTCTGTTTTTTTTTTTTGCTAATTTTGGTTGTGTTTCTTTTCAAAATGGGCTTCTTTTCGAGGCCAGTTTTGCAAAAGAGGGGGACTCCTTTTCAAAATGAATGTTGTAAATGTTGGGAATTACTACTATAAAACAATAAATAGGGCCACTGTAACACCAATCTGTATCATGTAGTGTATTAACCTGCATTAAATCACCTAAAATACTGTATAAACCAAGCGTGTTTTAATTTACTTGGTTGATCTGAAATTCATGTACAGTGTATATAATGTACAATCGCGAAAAAAGCCCATGTTATCTTGAAAATAAGATCATGGGCTTCTTTTCGAGGCTACTTTTGCAACAAAAGAAGTGGCTTTAATTCGAGATTGGCCTTTTTTCTTTAGATTTTAACCCATTGGGCTTCTATTCGAGGTTTTACGGTATATCTTATAATGATTGTAAATTGATTCTAAGAATGTTGTTTTCTCTATCCAGGAGATCGGGTTAGCTTCTTTGGGAGCGACAGAGGACGAAATTAAAAATCTAGCGAAGGTATGTTGTGACACTGTATATATTTTATAATAATGAGCGTTTGAAGAAATTACAGTATATTTTTGGCCTATATACGATCATTGCCAAGCTTAACCTTTCACCTTACACATTATAGCTTCATGTATATTTCATTATAAAAATAATGGTTTCATAAGACTTCTCATTTTGAAATCCACTTAATCCCAGACAATGGGAAAGAATTAGTCCAATTATCACGTATACATTTTAATTTAATGCATTACGTATAGTCTTGATGTTTTCAATAATGTCGTGTTTATATACGCATCACATGCCCCTCCATTGAGTCTCATTTTCTGTTAATGATACATCAGTTATTTTTTTGCAGTTATATTTCTTCACTGTAGAGTTTGGACTCTGCAAACAGAATGGCAACACACGGGTTTACGGAGCGGGTCTACTCTCCTCTATTGGCGAGCTTCAGGTAGGGAAACAAATTGTAGTAAAAAGTAAAATAAATTTTAGACCACATAAAAAAAACCATCATGCGATTTCCTCCAATGGCTGTCACACATACGTGCTTTCTAATTGTCAAGTGCAACTGCTCGTGCACAAGACACTTCTAGATTCTCCAGATTTGTATACCAGTATTCAATTACTTATATATTTTTAACTTATATATTGTGTTTAGTATGCCCTTTCATCAGAGGCAAAAGTATCTAGATTTAATCTTGAAATGGTAATGAAGCAGGAATGCCGAATAACGACTTATCAAGACTGTTACTTCGTTTCACAATCTTTCGAAAATGCAACACGTGATCTTAGGTACGTATCATACGGAAGCATAATGTTTGGTTCAGTTCAGTTCGTTTTGCTTTTTCCCTCTTGTATGAAATGAAAACCTGACCATTTACATTTATATATGAAATCTTTTTTTTTCAGAGAGTATGCCTGTACAATACGCCGTCCATTCACCGTTCGGTATGACCCGTACACCCAGAGTATCGACGTTCTAACAAGTACGACTCAAGTTGCTACTATCATCGATGATTTGAAGAGCGACCTCTATGTTTTATGCAAGGCTCTCAAAAAAATGGAAACTGCCGACCAAGAGTAATATTTAGAAGATGAAAAGGATAGTTACTTTATTTTAGTTACGTCGTTTAGCTTACAGTTACCTCCCATCCCTTAAATTTATAGTAATTCTTAAATTGATAGTGCAGGTGATTACATAAATTATTTGTGAAGATAAAATAATGTACTAATGGACCTTCCGGATGAACTCAACAACAACTGACCAATCAGAACGTGTTATTTAGGGTCTTGTGAGTAAGCGCTCCGTCCCATCAAACACGCAAGAAGTTTACGTTTCGTTTTGTTCCACCATAGCAAAGACTATAGAATTGCAAGAAGTCCGACTGTCTTTTTTATATACGCAATGGAAAGTTAAAAGAAAGTACTGCCACGGGATAGGGGGCGCCCTATTATGGCATTACTTTTTGATATAGGATTACGTTCCAGTGAAACCACGAGAGTAGAACCTTTTGCAGTTTTATACGCTGGCCATAGCAACAATAAGGAGCGGGTTACTTAGAGGAAAGATCCATTATGCCAATAGTATCAGAATTAAATCACTGAGAAATAGGAGGTATGAACATGTGACTATTTTATACTCAATATATTTGTATACGCCATGTTTTTATTTCAAATAGGCCTACATAAACTTATATCTATGATAAACCTCTGTTATAATGTTAATATCCAAACACTGAGCTGAACATTTTTAAAAGTTCATTAAGTATATTAAATTATCATTGACAGTTTTGAGACGCTGAGCTGCTTCAATGCTTCAGGTTCAACGCTGTACCATATAAATATATGACTATTTAGGCCTACCTAGTATATACTTTATGAGCTATATTACATTCACTAGCTCTACTTAGGTCTACGTATGTTTACTTTAAATATATTTGACAAAATAAAATACATTATTTTCAGTCCGACTTATAGACTTGTATATAATAACTTCAACATTCATTTGCTATGTTTCCTTATTTTAATGACAGACTTGTTAATCTGTAAAAATATAATATTTAATAAAGTATGTTGTATATAATATGTGACCACGAATGCTATATTAATTTTGTTAACGACAGGCCTACTAATACTTCACTCGAAGCTAACTCTTACATGAACACGAAAACATTGCCTGAAGATAAAACAGGGAATTTTATTTACAAATAAATATATATTTTAAAAGTTGATATTGCTTTTTTGTTTGTCAGCTTTTTTTCCCTTGGTCATGTGGTTGTTAACAGCATTTCTTTTCTTTCACAATTGAAATTGTAAAAATACATTATTATTTCTACATTATGATCTAAAATATGGTAGAAATAGTTGAATTTATAAATAATAATAATAATAATAATGGAAATAATAATAATAATAACAATAATAATTAATAATAATAATAATGGCGATGATGATAATGATTATGATAATAATAATGATGATGATGATGATGATGATGGTGATGATATGATGATGATGATAATGATGATGATGATTCAGGACTTTGGACGCTTTGACATCAAGCCAGCAGTATTTACAACAGGATACCGTAAACATTATATAATAAATGATTGCGGTACACCACGTACATAAACATTACTTTACCAGGCAACACCTCATAATATACAGCAATGAAAGGCCTATTAACTTTAATAATTATAACAATAATAATCAAAATAATTTATAGAGAAAATATAGATAATTCGCCAATTCCACAATGATCAAAGGCGCAGTTAACCCTAAAATTGTTAAGCTTGAAGTTTATTTTACGAAATGTTCCAAATTTTTCCGAAACGGTTCGTTAAACTAATCTCTCATAGACCGTCAGCAGCGTATCTAGCTCGTTCTTCACGTCTCCGAGAATCTTGCGTATCGTAGAAATATCTTCCAGAACTTCAATTGACTGAGTAAACGGATTGTAACGTAGCTGCAACGGTTTGTTAATATTGCTCACGTATTTTCTGTATATAAGATATAAAAGAAAATTAACACTGGCAGATTAGAAGATGTTTTTACATATCATTCTGGTGGAAATGTACAAGCAATAAAGTCGTTAACACATTTGAATGATTCACAGAACACAAAACAACCAGACAATGACATGGTCGAAAAATCGTCCAATTTCAACAAAATTTGGCTATATTTCACCTAGTCAATTTCTGGCGTAGGTGCCAGAGAGCACATTAGTATGATCCGTGCCACAGAGAGACAAAACAACCAGAAAATAACAGGGTCGAAAAATCGTCCACTTTCGACAAAACCTTTGCGTTTTTTTCCCAAAATTGGGCAATATCTTTCCAAGTCGTTTTTTGCTGATTCTTCCGTTCGTAGGGTCCGTGGCGGTGCCACATAACCTATTCGTATGATCTTTAGGTGCCATAGAACACACACCAACCGGAGATGGAAGGGCCGGAAAAACGCAAAATTTCGACAAAAACCATGAGCTATATACCCTTTGCGTTATTTTATTTTCACCTATAATAGTCGTTACATTTATTCTACCAAAATATAAAAGGAATACATTTTCGGACTGGGGGTCCCAGGATAAATGCATTTGCTGGCCACCGACCCCAGTCGGTTCCGGCAGCTACAGTTTACGTTGCTGAAGGATAGTTACCGGGCCACTCTTAGTGATGAGCAAGTGAGTGAATGAGGGAGTAGTAGAGTATAGGAGCCCTACAAAACTGAAAGCATTAGATGTACAGTAGAGAATTATTGAGATGTTATAACGCACATTCAAAATGCGCACATTAGTGGTAATTGGAACACTGTCGGTAATGGTAATAGTCCTACCTCATTTGTGCTTTGGCTTTCTCGAAAGATTCTGTGACGTAATATATAGGTTGATATGTCTGATCTTGGTATTCTTGCACAGAGACCTTTGATGGGTCAAAAGGTCGTTGTTCAGGCTGGTCTGACAATGCGAACTATAAATGATGATGATGATGATAATAATAATAATAGTTTTATTATTTAGTTTATTTAAATTTACAAATTATGCTTAAGATGGAAGAAAAATATCTAAATACAGATGTGATATGGATTGATATTAACAATAATAAACTTTAAATGTTACTGTACCTCATTTGAAAGATATGCTCTAATTTAGAGTGCGCTACAGTACATATGAAAACATAAAGGACATATAAAATATTTAAATTTCACTTTGAAGATTTAAAACCTTACAGATTACAAAAAGTGTAAACCCACGCTTTCCAAACTATGAGTACGGCCCAAAAGTGGGTCGCTAAACTTTTGCATTGTGTCATGAGGAAATTTGCAAACAAAACAACAAAAAACAAAAAACAAAATCAAAATTGTCAATTCATAATTTACAGAGTAAAGTCATTAATAGACCTGACGACTTGAAAACACTATTTTAGGTGAACCCTCATTAGAACAATATTTTATAGGCATAAATTTCAATGTTTAAAACATTTATTAAAAAGTTAATAATGTCGATGATTATGACAGTGGTCATAGTAATGGTAATGTTGATTCTATTGCTTTACAACAACAAAAATAAATATGTTAGGCTTAATAAAAACTTCGTTATAATTGCACCTGTAGTTCTCCGTATGCTGAGAGTAAGCCAGCGCCGTAAGCCTTAATCTGACCGTCCTGTCTACACAATCCAAATTCTACAGTGAACCAGTACAACTAACAAAGGAAAACAGATATGATATTTATTATATCGATCCATCTTTATTTATATATATATTTCTGGCCTCTAGCCCATACAATAAATAAGCCTTAATAGTAATATATTCCTTTGAGGCGGTCTCTTCTTAACAGTTCATAACAAAAATATTCTTAATACCATATCCTTATTTACATTAATTATCATTCATCATGGTCATCATTATCATATTCATCAATATCATCACCATCATCATCCTCTAAATCAATTTCATCCTTTATGAATTATATTCATCTTCAACATCATCATTATCATCATTAGCATCTTCACCATTATCATTTAGCATATATCATCATCGCTGTCGTCATCATCATCATCCTTATCATCATCATCATGATCATCATTGGGAAATTACCGTGGCCAATTTTGTGATATCTTCATCTGACACACCAAGGGAAGCAATGCCAATCTCCTACAACAAACAACAGTGTAATACAGGGGTTAGGGTCAAATACAAATAATAGATTTGCAATGAAAAACATCTTAAATAACACCAAAGAGGGAGAAAGTTTTTATGAGTAGCAGAAATTAACACCAAGCGCGGAAGATAGACATTTAAATTAGAAAATTAATTTTAATTATAATAAAAAAAATAATGAACAATTTTCAGCTTATTTTTGAAATTAATCAAAGTAAAGGTCTATAATTTACATTTATCACACAATAGACCTTTCCGGAGTGTCAATCAAACTTATCAACTGACTAATCAGAACAGCGCTAGGGATACGCGCGCGTCTCACAAACACACGTGTTGTCCCACAAACGCACGTGTTCGCGTATGTTTTAACACTGTCGTCTTGTGGGACCTTAGCAACAATATCCAAGGGGCGGGGCTTAGCGGAAAGGTCCATTGTTTTAAAGCCCTGTCAGACTATTTTATTTGACAAAACCATATTTGATATGCCTAAATGTGGTAATGATGACATCACATCATGACCATATATAGGCACACCATGTCTATATATGGCCGTACAACAGTTAGATAATCTGGAGAGAGCTTGAGACAAAGTTAACAAACTCCGAACAATGTGAAAATGCGAGTTTAATAAATCATTTTTATTACCTGTGAAAATTGGGCAAATTCGGGGTCGGCAAGCATTGGCACGTGACCTAGAAGTTCGTGGCAACAGTCTCTGTGGGAGGAAGATGAAATCAAACTCCAGTAGATATTGATATAAAATGACCATGCCTTATTCTTATTATAGCCAAAAATTAATGCCAGTATATTTTGATGGCACAATACTCGAACCAAAAACCATGCGATAGAAAACATAAGCTATACAAGACCAGGCAATAGAAAAAAAATCGACTATAATAAATAGGCTACAATAAGACGCATGTAATATAGTTTTGTTATCAACTTATTGTAAATTCCCTCAATTTAGTTCACCCCAAGGTTCAAACTTTAAGGCAACTCACGGTTCTGGTGTGTGCATTGGTGAAGTATGATGACGTACATATTGAGTGCATTGAAAAACACGAAATGCTAGGCTAGCCAGAAAGTCTCGAGCGGTGAGCAGACCGGCCACTGGTCGAAGTTGAAATCCTGATTGAGCTGAAAAAAACCCATCCAATAATTATCAACATCTGATATTCCGTATTTATTCGAATAAACGCCCCTCCTCCAGAACGTCATGGAACAAGCGCACCCTCGAATAAACGTCACGGGGCGTTTATTTTTTCCTCGAATGAGCTCCCCTCTAAGTGACTAACATTTAGTCGAATTAAATTACTGCTATTCTGTGATTTAGGAACCATACAGTAACACTTTTAAAGCCAATTATGAGTTGTAGTAATATATTATTAAACGAGGGCGTTTATTTGAGTATTTTCATCCATTTTGCATTTAAAAAATAAACGCCTCCCCCCCCCCCCCTAAAAAACCCCCCCAATAAAAACCCCCCCCCAA